CCCCAAAACCCCAAAACCCCAAAACCCCAAAACCCCTCTCTCAAAGTTATAAATTGAAGCTCTTTTAATTATAATAATCAAAATGGAACAATCAATAAAACAACAAAAACTTTCTATTATCGTATCCTGCTTGTCCAAATTGATGGTCAAAGCTCAAATACTTATCAGTAAACACTTCAGAGGTTGGAGGTGAAGAAAACATCTCAGGAAAGATCTTAAGCTGATCACCTTTAAGGACTTTGGAGACTCCAGCAACAGAGCTTACTTGGTCGGGGAATTCACCAAAATACCTTGGCAACAGAGAATTCCTATGAGGTTCTGCCCCGAGAAGCGGATCTTTGAGGTTAAAGTCGCTATCACCAACTGGTGACAATTTAAGTTCATCATTGATGAGACTTATGTCCATTCAAAGTCTTACATCACTGTTAATACTCCTGAAGGATACCTCAACAATGTGTTCATGGATGAAGAGCCGGAAGTTTTGGATTCCTTTGACTCTGTAAAGGAGGTAGAACTTTCCAGAAATATTTCGGCACCTCCATGTCTAACTCAGAAATTTAATATAGTTAGAACAACTATTTCAAATTTAAAGGGTACCAAAGCCTTCTTAAATCCTGAAGTAACCACGAAAAGATCCTTGTACTCTCGCCTATCCCGGGTTTGTCAGTCGGATGACAGGGTAGTCGTAGGCTCAAAGGCATCCATGCTTGCTAGACATAAGGAAATCAGCAACAATTTAATCGAAAGCGCAGAACAAAAAGAACAAAGAATCACGAAAGTTAGGAAAAGAAATTTTAACCCGTTCAGGCTCAACCAGAGAGCTACTAGTTTCCAAAATATCCAAAAGGAGATTTTAAGGGCTTCTACCTCTGAAGATGAAGATTGTGAGAAACTAGAGAACCACAAACAGCTGTCTAAAAGTCTCAAGCTCAAAACAAATCTTGTGAGAAACCACAGTGTTCTGCAAGATTTTAAAGGTGATTTCAGTTCCTTGCTTTCCAGGTAAATATTGATGAAATCTTCAGAAATTTCTTTCTTCATAAATTTTGAACAATTTTTAACCCTATTTTAACAACAAAATAGTTTAACTAAGATGTTAATATAGCACTGACGACTCCTCAGAGATAGAGAAGAAAGGGTTTGCCTTTACTACAGGAAGCCATATGATCTCGAAGAGAAGAGGGAAACCCTCTGAGGATGCCCTCTTTACCACTCCAAACTACCTTGGTATTGCCGACGGAGTTGGTGGTTGGGTAGAGTACGGTGTGGATTCATCAAAATTTTCTAATGAACTGATGAAAAATTGCAAAAACGAAGTTATTAAATTTAACCAAGAGATTGAACAATCTGCCAACTATGAGTCTGAAGAATCTGATTATGACCTCTTTGGCTCTAATAACTCAAAATGTAGCCAAAACTATGACGCAAACTCTTTGGAATCCGGAAGTGTCAGCCATGAAGCGACAGAAATCAAACCTAAGAATGTTCTGAACCCAACGACTGTCCTTTCTAAAGCTTATCGTAAAGTCAGAAGCATCGGATCTTCAACAGCCTGTGTCTGAGCACTAAATACTACCTCTGGAGAAATGGAGGTATCTAACATAGGTGACTCTGGATTCCTGGTGATAAGGAAGAACATAATCTACCAATCGGAAGAGCAGCAACACTCATTTAATGCTCCTTACCAGCTGACTCGGATGCCACTAGGCTTTGCAAGGAAACACAAGATATTCGGGTATTACTCTGACAAACCTAAGGACTCCAAGAACTACACTTGAAGATTACAAAAAGGAGACATTGTAATATTAGCAACAGACGGCCTCTTCGATAACCTCTATTCAAAAGATATTATAAGAATTGTGAACAAATTCTTATTAAGGCAAAAACAGACAATCTACACCTCTAATGGTTGCCATGCTGCTGACTTAAACAATATAGTGGAGCTCCTTGACTCCACAGATGCTTACAACTTGGCTAGGACTCTTTCACTTAAAGCATGGAAAAACTCGCTATCATCTTCATACATCTCACCTTTCGGTTCCAAGATGAACTCCTTACTCAAAACCACTAGCACAAAGCTCATACCTGAGCTTGAAGAATGGAGAGGTGGTAAGAAAGACGACGTGAGTGTCATAGTCAGCTTTGTAAATTAACACCTACAAACCTTAATTCATAATTTTCAAACCTCTAAAAATCTCAAAGACCTTCTTTTTTTGCCTAAATTTCTAAACCTATTCCTAAACTTGCCCTTTCGTTGGACTGCAAAATCCGAATTAGACCACGCAAGTTCTAAATTTCTCAAATCTTTCTTAAATTTCTTAGTGAAATCTCAAGCAAAAGTAGTGTTTGTCAACCAAACCCAGAATTTAATAATGTAAGGGTTCAAGATATATTAGGAAGGGAGGATTAGGGCTTGGGATTGGACTGGAGAGAAGAGGATACTAGGAAAGATTTTTGATATTTATCGAATTGGGAGAATATTAAAATGTCCATCTTACGCTTCACACAAATTCTCATTTCTCCATCTTTCTCTTAAGCAATCGTTCAAAGTTCCCTACAAGGTCTATAACTCACCATAGAAAATTTATTTTATGCTGAAATTCAGATTTAGAAAATACTTGATTCATGTACCAATAATAAATTGCCTCTTCGGGGTTTTGGGGTTTTGGGGTTTTGGGGTTTTGGGG